AAGAAGAATATGTTTACCACTTGTTGAAATTTGTAGCAATTTACAAGTTGGTTAAACCGATATGATGTTTACCACTTGTTGAAATTTGTAGCAATTTACAAGTTGGTTAAACCGAGATGATGTTTACCACTTGTTGAATTTTGTAGCAATTTACAAGTTGGTTAAACCGATATGATGTTTACCACTTGTTGAAATTTGTAGCAATTTACAGGTTGGTTAAACCGATATGATGTTTACCACTTGTTGAAATTTGTAACAATTTACAAGTTGGTTAAAATCGAGATGATGTTTACCACTTGTTGAAATTTGTAGCAATTTACAAGTTGGTTAAACCGAGATGATGTTTAACACTTGTTGAAATTCTGTGTGAATTTGCAAGTTGAAGTTAAACCGAGATCAAATTTAACACTTATTGAAATTCTGTGTGAATTTACAAGTTGAAGTTAAACCGATGTGATATTTAAAAACTTGTTGAAATTCTGTGTGAATTTACAAGTTGAAGTTAAACCGAGGTCATGTTTAACACTTGTTGAAATTCTATGTGAATTTACAAGTTATAGTTAAACCGAGGTCGTATCGAAAGGAAGATGGTTTAACACTTGTTGAAATTTTGAGAAAAATTTACAAGCTGAAGTTAAGCCGAGGTTATGATAAAGGATGATGGTTAAACACTTGTTTGAAATTTTTGAGAAAAATTTACAAGCTGAAGTTAAACCGAGATTATGATAAAGGAAGATGGTTTAACACTTGTTGAAATTCTGTGTAAATTTACAAGTTGAAGTTAAACCGAGATCATATTTAACACTTGTTGAAATTCTGTGTAAATTTACAAGTTGAAGTTAAACCGAGATCATATTTAACACTTGTTGAAATTCTGTGTAAATTTACAAGTTGAAGTTAAACCGAGATCATATTTAACACTTGTTGAAATTCTGTGTAAATTTACAAGTTGAAGTTAAACCGAGATCATATTTAACACTTGTTGAAATTCTGTGTAAATTTACAAGTTGAAGTTAAACCGAGATCATATTTAACACTTGTTGAAATTCTGTGTAAATTTACAAGTTGAAGTTAAACCGAGATCATATTTAACACTTGTTGAAATTCTGTGTAAATTTACAAGTTGAAGTTAAACCGAGATCATATTTAACACTTGTTGAAATTCTGTGTAAATTTACAAGTTGAAGTTAAACCGAGATCATATTTAACACTTGTTGAAATTCTGTGTAAATTTACAAGTTGAAGTTAAACCGAGATCATATTTAACACTTGTTGAAATTCTGTGTAAATTTACAAGTTGAAGTTAAACCGAGATCATATTTAACACTTGTTGAAATTCTGTGTAAATTTACAAGTTGAAGTTAAACCGAGATCATATTTAACACTTGTTGAAATTCTGTGTAAATTTACAAGTTGAAGTTAAACCGAGATGATATTTACCACTTGTTGAAATTTGCAGCAATTTACAAGTTGAAGTTAAACCGAGATGATTTTAAATACTTGTTGAAACTTGAG